TCCAACAGGTGGGATGGGCTGGATTCCCTCTGCTTCCAGAGTTACCTGACTTCCTGGGTTGTGAGGAGAAGACACAGGCTTCTCTGAAATATTAGCAAGGACAACAAAAATAATGTCCTGAGAGGCTCACTGGGTTGGGGGAGGATCTGGAAGGACAGGAAGACAAGGAACAGGGGGTTGCTGTGTGTCCTTTTGTGTCTTTATTTTTATTTACTTTATTTATTTATTTATAGACAGAGTTGTACTTTGTTACCCTCAGTACAGTGCCTTGGCATCAAAGCTCATGGCAACCTCAAACTCCTGGGCTCTAGTGATTCTCTTGCCTCAGTCTCCTGAGTAGCTGGGACTACAGGCGCTGGCCACACGCCTGGCTATTTTTAGAGACTAGGTCTCACTCTGGCTCAGGTTGGTCTCGAACCTGCCTCAGCCTCCCAAAGTGCTGAGATTATAGGTATGACCCACCACGCCTGACCTTTTTTTTTTTTTGAGACAGAGTCTCACTATGTCACCCTGGGTAGAGTGCCATAGCATCATAGCTCACAGCAACCTCCAACTCTTGGACTCAACTGATCCTCTTGCCTTGGTTTTTCCTTTTTTTTCCTTTCTTTTTTAGAGACCGAGTCTCACTCTGTCACCCTCAGTAGAGTGCCGTGGCGTCACAGCTCACAGCAACCTCCAGCTCTTGGACTTAGGTAATGGTCTCGCCTCAGCCTCTGGAGTAGCTGGGACTACAGGCGCCCACCACAATGCCCGGCTATTTTTTTGTTGCAGTTTGGCCAGGGCCAGGTTTGAACCCACCACTCTCGGTATATGGGGCCGGCGCCCTACTCACTGAGTCACAGGCACTGCACTTGCCTCAGTTCTTCTATTTTTAGTAGAGATGGGGTTTCGCTTTTGCTCAGGCTGGTCTCAAACTCATAAATTCAAGCAATCCCCCACCTTGGCCTCCCAGAATGCTAGGATTACAGACAAGCACCGGGCCATGGTCTCCAACTCTTGAGCTCAGGCAATCCACCCACCTCAGCCTCCCAGAATGCTCGGATTACAGGAATGAGCCACCATGCCCAGCCCTTTTTGTTTTTAGAGTGGCATACTACCTCAGTTATGTATCATGAAAAAGGAAATTTCTAAATGGTATTGTCAGAGAAACAGAACATTCTCAGGGTTTTAGTTTTAGTTCACAAGTTCAATGATACGTAATGTTGAATACTATTTTTAACATGAAAAAAAGGACAAGACAAGCACTCTCATTTTTTGGCACATCTATATTTCTGTCTGCCAAGTAGCAGCAGGTATAGCTCTGCCCTGGGCAGCCAGGTGGCCTTGCTGGTAGCAGAGCAGGGGTCACGGGGTGGGGTACTCATGTCTCTTGTTTGCCCTGAAAAGAGACAGATGAGAAGTTGTATGGCCCTGGACCCCAAGGAGGACTCTTGGCACTTCCTCTCTCAGGAGACTGGCCTCTCCACAGCCACCTTTCAGGAAGACAGAGGATCCAGAAAGCTCCAGAATGCAATGCCTTTCCCACTGAAGGGAGTGGGAAGAGGGGGATGAGGCAAGAAAGAGAGGTGTAAGAGGTTCAACCTGCCCAAGTGACTTGGCTGGTAGTGGACAACTGTAGTTCCAGCTACTTGGGAGGCTAAGAGAGGAGGATCACTTAAGCCCAGGACTTTGAAGCTATAGAAGGCTATGATGATGCCATGATACTCTAGCCTGGGTGATTGAGTGAGACTCTGTCTCAAAACAACAGCAACAGCAACAACAACAAACACAAAGGAACTTTTTCAGGAAAAGTAGAGGGGGAAGGGAGAGGGAAGGGAAATTTGCACTTAGCAAATATAAAGAAAGCTAGAACTAGAAGAGAAGAGCCGCCTTGGAGTGTGTCCTGGTGTTGGCAGAACAGTTCAGGTATTCCTAATACCTTCTTCTGCAAAGTGAGTTTCTTCCACTCAGGAGGGGCAGGAAGCTGCAAGGACTACCACGACTGGGCACAGCCACTGTGACATTTTCAAATAGCAGCTTATTGACCTGCTTTCCTTCTTTTTTTTTTTTTTTTTTTGAGACAGAGCCTCCAGCTATCTCCCTGGGTAGAGTGCCACGGCATCACAGCTCACAGCAACCTCCAACTCCTGGGCTCAAGCGAGTCTCCTGCCTCAGCCTCCCAAGTAGCTGGGACCACAGGTGCCCGCCACAATGCCCGGCCATTTTTTGGTTGCAGCCATCATTGTTGTTTGGCGGGCCCGGGCTGGGGATTCGAACCCGCCACCTTAGGTGTATGTGGCTGGCACCTTAGCCGCTTGAGCCACAGGCGCCGAGCCGACCTGCTTTCCTTCTTATATCCTGAAACCCCATCTAGGCACTTGCTCCAGCCTAGCTACCGGGGAGGCAGAGGCCGCAGCCTTTGCAGCTCCCCTCCAACCTCAGGGAAGCTAAGAAATCAGGATGGTGTGAGACAGCAGAACCATGAGAGTGTTAGGACAGAAGAGATGAAGTTGATGTATGTCACTTCACAGGACGTGAAATGCCCTTAATGAGTCCTTGTGGGAGGAAAGGCTATGTTTGCTTCCTGTGTGGCAGCTAGTGCAGGCTCCTTAGAGAGCACACAAAGGAATAGCCTGACACCCAGGGCCTTGTGGCTCTCCTTGGGGACCCCATACTGTCCATCCTGGAGTCTTTGCACTGACCTAGGAGGCCCTTTTGCCTTTCCGCAGCCCTGTTCCATGAGGGCCCAGTCCTAGTGGCACTGAGGCAGCCATACAAAGAGCCCACATACAGATACTCCAGATGCCTCCAGGGGCTCCACTGAGATGCAAGATCCAGGTGACAGGTGTGGTGAGCATGAGAAGCTCACGTGAGGGTCACACACAAATCAGCAAGTCTATCTATCCCCTGGACTTGGAAACATCCCTTGCTCCCGAATAGGCTGTTGTACCCCCTTTCTAAAGCTTCCTGGGAATACCCTCAGATGTCACAAATTGAGGGAGCACTGGGGATACTCACTGAACCCCTGCTCTGCATCAGCTGGACAGTGCTGGGCCTCCCAAGAAACATAAACAATCTTGTTCTCCAAGTGCCCTGTCTAGCCCTACCTCTCCTAGTGGATGTGAGCACTTCAGTGTCCAATGAAGAGGCCAATAAAACCCACACCATGTGCCTCATGTCATTTCAGCCACATAGTCTAGGGCAGAGCCATCCTGGGTTTTTTGTAGTTGTGTTTTTTTCAAAGACTTTAATTGTTTCCATTTAATTATATTATTTGCCTTCCCAGCACAAGGCCACACCTGGTACAGTAAGCAGAAGCATCATGCCGAGGGCCAGAGGGCTGGACCAGGGGCTGGTCTGCCTAGAACAGCCATGTGGATAGATGCCCTCCCTCGGGGTCTTCAACCAGCTCAGGCCCCTGAACGACATCTATAGGAGTTTTAGGACAGCAGAATCTTTCTTTCCAATCATCCTGTACAAGGGGGTGGAATGAGGAGGTGGAAAGGTAGCTTCATGAGTCAGAGACCTAAATGCTCAGCCTCCCTTTACCCCTCCTCTGCCAGCAACTGCTGTCCCTCAGCTTCACTTTCCTTATCTGTAAAACTGGAGTTACCAGAGTGCTGCCTCAAAGCCTGCAGAAGGATAAAATGAGAAAGGTGCCCAGAGAACTTGGTGCAGGGGCCTGATGCATAGGGAGTTTCAGTGGGGCTGAGGCTCTTAGAAAGATGCAGGATTAGTGGGGCCCAGCTCCTTCCTGCTCTCAAAGAACACGGTCTGTGGAGGCCCAGACACTAAGTCCTTTAGCCTGCCTCCATTGAAGAACTGATGTTAGTGATCTGCCATCAAGCAGCTCCAGAGATTCTCAGAAGGGGAAAAAAGAGGGGTGCTCTTCTGGGGAGCAGAAGGACCTCAGGAAATAAGTCATGCCTAACCCGAAGACCAGGCCAAGCTGGTTTCCTGCAAGACCTGCTTTCCCAGCCAGGGCACAAAGCAGGAGCTCCCCATGTCTATCTGGGGTCAGAGAAACACCATCTCTCCTGCCCCGTCCACATTTGAGAACTGGAAGGATAGAATTACCCTCACGTCCCCATCAGTCCCGGACTCTCAGTTCAAGGAGGCAATTATGGGGCCTTCTCCACACCTAATTGTGACTTATACTTCTGTAGCTCTCATATCTGGGCAAAGGGAGATCAGGGATCCCTAAAGCAGGAGCACACACCCAACTCAGCACCCAACTTAGTCCCAGTTTACTCCACTGGCTTTTGAGTTGGAGTACTCAAATACCCAGGCCTGCCTCACAGGTTCTAGGCCTCACAGTCGCCTTCTGGTCTTGTTACCTGCAGTTTGGTAATAAACTCCAGGGCACTAAAGGTACCATGAGAGCTAGCCCAGCTAGGGCTGACCACATAAGAGTTCAGTGGTCAGGACCAGAAGGCCCCTTTTGCAGCCAGCAGGAAGAGCAGTCGTCAGGGGCCACTCTTTGTAACTTCCTGAGTTTGTGCTAGTCTCAGCCTGGAGAGAAACAGGGAAGAGCAAATCTGCCATGGCTGGTACAGGCGGGACTTAGCCGCCCCCAGGCAGTTCTCCAAGCGACTGGGGAGGGATGCCTGCACCAACCAACACATCCTCTAATGTAGCCAAGGACCAGATCCTTGGCCCAGAAGATAAGGGCACTCAAGGGCAGTCAGGGACTGAGGCTGTCCCCTGCATCCGCAGCACCCCAAGCTGGCCTCGAGTGACCTGCATGACCCAGGTCTCTGCCGGCTTCCCGCCTTCATCTTGGGTCCCCTTCCCGAAGCAGTGCCCGAACCCAACCGGAACCTCCAAAGCCTCGGAAGCGCCAGCGGGGCAGAGGGTTGACTCCTGCTCCAAGGGCCCGGTCGCCCTTGCCTTCGGCCGGGAGCCTAGGTGCGTCTGGTCATCAAAGGCCACGCGACCTGTCGGGCCTGCCATCCTCCGCTGTCCTCCAGGCCCGACCTCCTCGCCGGGCTCCCAGGCTCCAAACCGCCGACGGGACTCACCTCTGCAACCCGGTGGCGCCTCCTCAGTCCCCGTAGCCTGGGCAGCGCGGCCCTGGCCCCGGCCCCCGGGCTGGCTTGCCTCCACCGGCCGGCCCACAACTTCTTTCTCCGGAGAGCGGCGCAGCCACTCTCGCCGCCGGCCTTACTGCCTGAACGGCCTCCCGCGCCTCAGCCACAGAGCCACCGAGCACCCCAACCCTGCCCCAGCCCTGGCCAGCATCCGGCGCCCGCCCTACGCCTCCTCCGTAGCGTAGCGCCCGGCCGGGGCCCCGCAGCTACGGCGCGCCCGGGGCGCACGCGGCACTGTGAATCGCGCGCCGGGACTACGACTCCCACAGGGCCGCGCGGTACCCCGCACGAGGCATGCCGGGAGCAGGGGAGGTCCCGCGCGAGGCATGCCGGGAGTTGTAGTCCCTAGGCACCCTCGCGGCTCCGCCCACCCACTCTATCTCTGGCTGCGCCGCGCGCCAGGCATATCATCAGGGAGGGCCCAGCATGGGGTTGCAGAGTGCCCTGTCGGCTCCACCCGGTCTCTGCGCGTCGACGAGCTGCTGAGACCCCTTGGCTCCAGAGGCGCCTCCAATCTTCTCCGTGATTTTTATACTTGGTTTCCTCGATTTTCCCCACCGATCAGTAGTCAAAAGCAGGAATTGTAGTGGGACCCACTTGAGTGGCCTCGGTCCTTGCAGGGTCACTTGGGCACATCACTTGTCTAAGCTTCTTTCCTCCTAAGGTCAAGGGTGACACCACCCACAAGTCCTTCAGGCCTGGCCTATCAGGACGGAAGACATTCCTACTCCTGGGTAACCCTGGGCAGGTCCTCTGAGCAAGTGTGTTTGCAAAAGAGCACCTTAAGCTCAGTGTCTCCCCAGAAGTCTCCTTTTGGCTGCCCTGAGGTTACTCTCCACCCAGCAGCTAACTAGGGAGGAGGCTTGGATCTGCTGGACCTTTAGGTCATCTCTCAGCAAAGAGCTTTAGATGCAGGGCAGCACAGGCTGCAGAGTGGGTAGTGGGATGCAGAGGGCATTTGGGACAAAATAAGAGCCAGAGAAGGCACTGGCCACACAGCAGAGGAAGACAGAAGCAAAGCTGGTCAGCTGAGAGATTCAGGAGAGACGGGGTTGGACTGTGGTCTGATTCTGTGGCAAGATGGAGCAGAGTTTTATAAGTGGGAAGTTGGGTGACGTTTACTCCAGGGCCCAGAGGCTAAGCCAATCTCATCTAGACTTACAGGGCCAGGGCTGGTGCTTGTAGGTGGCCATTCATGCTCTAGAAAAGCCAGCAAGCCAAGGATGGAGCTCCACCATACTCTCCAGATGATGCAGTAGGGGCACCTGTGTCCCAAAATGGAGGCTCCAGCTTTTAGCCACAGTCAAGACAGAAGCTGGCTGCCTGAGTGTTCTGAGAGGGTGGGAAATTTACTTCTGTCCTGGGAGGCTTTGGGTGAGACTTCATTCCCCTGCCTTGGAACACTTCCCCCTACGTCTGCTACCCACTATCTTGCGATGGCAGGGCTGCTTAATGTGTTGTTTGCCCGTAGCCAGAGTGTCCATGGTAGGGCACCCTGAGGGCCAGATAGGGACACCAGGAAAGGTAGGCTGCAGTGAGCTGGCTCTCCTGTGGCTTAGACAAGGCTCTTGGCCCCCGTCCTCCCAAGTTCCTCACCTGCATGAAGCATGACTAGCCAAGTGTAGCTGCAGAATCACATTAGGACAGAGTCCAGGGCTGCCTCTCAGGTTCCCTTCCCTTCCCAGTCCTCCCCTGGGTGTGGTTGTGAATATTAGGGCTGGTGTAGCTCCTTGGCTAGGGGCCCCTGGTCTAGCTGGCAGAGGGTTCATAACCCTGTAACCTGCCACCAGAGCCTGTTGATCTGACAGCTCAGGCTTTTGCCAACTCACTGCTGAGTGATCAACTCTGTAGCCAGTTTTGCTGAGCCAGGCCGTACTAGGGTTGAGAGGGTGGGAGCATTCCTGCCCTCCCCAGTAAATAGCCAAACGGTAGGGGAGAGAGCCCACTCACCCAGGATGGCTTCATAAGAAGTCTTCAAGACGGTTGAGATTTTACTACATAAGGAGGGAACCAGAGGGAATGGGCAAGATGAAAGGCAAGGGGAGTTGCCTGACTGTGTAGTCAACATGTGATCATCTTA